GGGGAAAGAGGAAAAGATGTTAGAGGGGGAAAGAGGAAAAGATGTTAAAGGGGGAAAGAGGAAAAGATGTTAAAGGGGGAAAGAGAAAAAGACGTTAAAGGGGGAAAGATGAAAAGAGACAATAAAGGGGGAAGAGGAAAAGAGACATTAAGGGGGGCAAAGATGTGATGGGAAGAGGAAATGGGGGGGAAGAGGAAAAAGATGGTAATGGGGGTACAGATGGTAACAGGGAATAGGAAACGGATGGTAACGGGGGGAGAAGAGGAAAAATAGATGGCAACGTCGGGAAGAGATGTTGATGTCAATGGGGAGAAGATGATTAATGGCATTAGAGGTGGGGAAGGAGGGGACACACACGCCTGGGAGCAGCAGGACCCCCCCCAGGTGTCACCGGGACGCTGCGGCCGCCCCCAGCCCCTTACCAGGCAGTCGAGCTGGGAGATGGGGCTCTTGCTGCCGGGCTGGCTGATGTCCCAGATCTTGACGCAGCCCTTGCCGCCGGTGTAGACGTGCCGGGTGGGGTTGCTGATGGTGACGGCGCACACCACCTCGCCGTGGCTCAGCGTGTTGATCTGCCGCGCGTGCCGGGGGATGCCGGGCCCCGCCAGCGCGTCGTGCGGGAACGGCACCGGCTGCATCTGCCCGTCGGCGCTCACGTGGAACGAGTAGGCTCTGCCGTGGGAGGGCAGAGGGGGGGGTCAGCACAGAGGGGGAGGTTTCACGGGGGGCAGCGGGTGGCTTTGCGGTCCGGCTGCCACGCTGGGCCCCGACCGGGGGCTTGGCTGAACCCAGCCCTGGGTGAAGGATTCACCTCGCTCCCGCCCGCATTGATCCCCCCCCCAAATCCATAAAAAAAACCAAAAGGGGCTTACGGTTTCCCCCCGGGGATGGAGGCCAGGCTGGAGGGCAGGCCGGGGGCTCGCATGGGCGGGTGTGGGTCAAAACCAACCTGCCGAGAGACACACGGACACGGGTGAGGCCGGACATGAGCTGGGCACACCAAACACCTTCCCACCCACGAGCCCACGGGACACTGAGCAGCTCCCTCTTTTCCCTTGCTGCTCAAGAGCTAATTGTTATTATTCCCCTGGTAGAAGGGGGAAAACTGAGGAATTAGCCAAAGGTTTTGGGGCTGCGCGGAGCAGGGTGGGACATGCTCCCCCTCCCCGTGCTGTCCCCAGATCCCCAGGGACGGGAGCAGCCAAGTTGTGCTCAGCACTCTGGCTGCAGAAACCCCCATCTCTGCATTAATGGCAAAGTTTTACTTCTTGGTTTGACTTGTTTTGCCTTAAAACATGGGATCAAGAATTTAGTGAGAGTAAGGGGAAGGGGGCTGAGTAACTGGAATGAGGAACCCCGGTGTAGGAGCACATGCACATTCCCCCACGGGGAGGCACCTCCACCCCCTGCCCCCTTTAACGGCAGCTGCTATAAAAGATGGCTTGTTTTGAGGAGGAGGAGCCTCAATTTCCCAGCTGAGCTAGGGGAGTCCCCCCCAAACCCTCCCCGGCCCTCCCCACCGGTGAGAAAAGGAGCTAAAAGTGCTACGTACAGCTCCAAAGCTCACCATTGGTGACCGGCCGTAGGCGGCGGCGGCGGCGGCGGCCGCGCTCATCTGCGGGGGGAGGTTGTGCAGCCCCGCGTAGGCCCCGGGGCTGGTGAGGGACCCGTTCATCTCGTGGTGCCCCATCATGGCGAAGGGGGCGGCGTAGGAGCCCGCGATGGAGATGGGCGTGCGCAGGGCCGAGGCTGCGGGAGGGACGGGACACGGTCAGGGCGGGGAGCGCGGCCGCGTCCATGGGGTCAGCCAGGGGGGGAAGAGACCCCTGAGGTCACCCAGTCCAACCTGTGACCCATCACTGCCCTGCCCTCCCCAGCCCAGAGCACTGAGTGCCACGCCCAGTCATTCCCTGAATGCCTCCAGGGATGGGGACTCCACCACCTCCCTGGGCAGCCCCTTCCAATGAAGAAATTCATTGCTGCTTTTCAACCCGGGCCTTCCCTGGCACAGCTTGAAGCCACGTCACAGATCACAGAATATTCTGAGTTGGAAGGGACCTGTGAGGATCTTCAAGACCAACTCTTCAGTGAATGGCCCATGCAGGGACTGAAGCCACAATCTTCCTGTTACCAGCACCCTGCTCTGACCCACAGAGCTAATCCCACCTCACATCCAGACATCCTCTCATCCCAGAGCTGCAATGGCTGGGCCTCCCTCCTCACCCCACCTCTGACAAGAGGGACCACCCCAGCCAGACGTGGATTAGGCCCCCCATAAACCTGATCCCCCCCCAGGCTGCTGTTTCCCATGGACGGGGATGAGCTGGAGCCGTGCCAGGCACAGCAGTGACCCCGGGCAGGTACCCACCCAGGGGGTCCATGCCGGTGGGTTTGCCGGGCATGGGCCGCAGCCCCGGGGTGCTGCTGGTGCCCGGGGTGGGCGCGTCGTTCCGCGGCGTCGGAGTGTTCGACTTGAGCCCGGGCGTCGACGACTTGTCGTTCTGGGGGAGAAGGGATGGGAAACAAGGGATGAGGTCCGAGCACCAGCACCCCCAGCCCCCAGCGAGCCGCGGCAGGGCGCGGGACGTACGTGGCCCAGGTCTTTAGTCTTGGAGGAGGGAGTGCTGCTGGAGGAGGCGACCGAGGCCGGGCTGTTGGGAGCGTCTCCCTTCTTCAGCCCGCGGGCTTTGTCCAGGCCGTTCTCCGGGGGCGAGTGGGCCGGGCTGACTCGGGGGGTGGCGGGATCCTGTGGGGCAGGAGAAAGCCTTGGAATCCCCTGTGGCTCCCTCCGGCTCCTCCATTCCAGGAGGCCCCTAAGGCATCACCCCCAAACCCCCCAGTGGCACGGGCAGAGGGGCAGATCCGTCCACAAGGACTCACCTCGTTGGAGACGTCGACCACCAGGTCATCGCTCTTGTCACCATCGCTGTCCTGGAACACAAAGCCAGTCACACCCCGCAGAGAGCCCCAAAAACTGGGGTGGGGGCACCCCCCTGAGGAGCTGAACCATCCCTCCACAGCACTAGGACACTTATGGGGGATATTATGGAAAATTTCTTCCTGAAAGGGTGGTCAGGCATTGGAACAGGGCAGCAGTGGAGTCCCCATCCCCAGAGGGATTTAAAAGCCATGTGGATGTGGCACTTGGGGACACTGTTAGTGGTGGCTTTGGCAGTGCTGGGGGACAGCTGGACTTGAATGTCTCAGAGGGCTTTTCCAACCTAACTGATTCCATGGTTCTATGACCCACACCATACCTGGAAAACGTCACCCAAACCCGCTGCCTCCCACCCCAGGTCCTGCCTGGTCGTGTCCCTGGGGCTCCCCGTGTCCCCTGTCACTCACATATCGGCTCATGCTGTCCTTCTCCTCCGCTTTCCGCTTCTTGGAGTCGATGCTGTAATCCGTGGAGCTCCGGTGCTTCTCGCTGGCTCTCAGGCTCTCCGAGGGCGACACGGAATTATTCTGCAATGCCACAAGAAGCTTTGAAGTTGGAAACAGAAGGAATTAGGACTTCATGAGCAGCAGCTTAGAAGGTGCCACATACAGCCCTGTACCAGCAGCGCAGTGAGACCTGGTGGCTCCCGCCACACAAGGGAGCAGGGAACGGGATCCAGGTGACAGGATCGGACACCACCCTCACTGTGAGCCCTGGGAATGCTGGGAGGCTGCTCATGGACACCTGAACCCCTTCACTGCAGAAGCACAGCAGGAAAAATGGAGGAGGTGGTTGTTGCTAAAAAGGCAAACCCCGGGAGGGAGATGTGGGAAATTCCAGCAGCTCCCAGTCATCACTGGGATCCACCAGTGGGAACTAGGGAGTGCAGAGTGGGGCAAAGCTGTGCTCCCTAAAATCAGCCCCATCTCCCTCATCCTGTGCTCCCCATGGGAGAACAGGAGCTTCACCCCAGCCCGGGGCAGGGGAAGGACTTTGCACAAGTGGTGGCATCATGGATGGGAATCGGCAGAGCCGGGGGGCCTCATCCAGGAGGAGCAAAGGAACCACTGCATCCCATTCCCAACATCAGCAGCTGAGCTCTGCCAAGCCAAAGTGCATCCAAAAAACATCCAGGAAAACCCACGTGACCAGGAGCACCACAGCCCAGGGTCCACAGGGATGCCCTGCTCAGGGAGACTTCTGTCCTTGCTTCAAGCAGCGAAGCCCAGGAGATCCAGCATTCCCAGGAAAGCCCCAGAGCCCACGGGTGCTTCCTCTGGCACTGGCAGAGCTCAGAGGCCTCATCCAGAAGGAACAAAGGAACTGCTGCATCCCAGCTCTGGCACCAGCAGCTGAGCCAAAGGACAACCACAAAATATCCCAGAAAACCCGTGTGACCAGGAGCAGCAGAGCCCAGAGCCTGTGGGGGATTCTGTCCCTGCTTCAAGCAGTAAAACCCAGGAGATGCCGACATTCCCAGGAAAGCCCTTTGAATGCTGGGAGCAAAAATGGCAGCACAAAACCACCTCACGAGCGCCAGAGGATGCCCGGCCCTGATCCCACATCCCCCCACGGCGCAGCCCCTTCCCCACATCCCAGCTTCCCTTGCCCTCAGTTCCTGGGAGCAGCAGGAGAAACCCCCACCCTGCCCGAGCCTGCCAGCCCCGCTAAGCAGCAACGCTCCCTAAGCTGCTGTGCCTGCCTTTCTTCCCCGGCTGAAAGGGAGAACTAAAGCAGTTCATGTTTCTCCTCGGTCCCCAGTAAGCAGCTTTGGATAACACCGAGCTCTTTCTTCCCAGGCAGTCATGCTGAAAACCCTCGCAGCTCCCGGAGAATCATGTCAAGCATTTAGAGGCATCGATCCATTCAGCGCCGCCGCTGGCCCGGCGCCAAGGAACTAAATATTTTTTATTGCACAGGCAAAGGCTGGGGAAAATATGAATGACTAACGCTGATTACGGCGCATTAAACCTCCCCCGGGAACACCCCGGCTCCGGGCTTATGGATCGGGAACCTTCCCACCTCCGACGGCCCCCTGCCCGCCCGAGGAGCGGGTTAATGATGCCCAATTCCCCTCTCCCCCCTTAAATAGCACTTTCCTTCCCGCCCGCCCCCGGCTCTCAAAAGGCCCATTTGTGGGCTCGGGGATGGCAGGAAATCGCTGCAAAGCCGCGGCTCAGCCGGGCTTTGTCCTGGCAGCTTTTCACACGGAATCGCTGGGGTTGGGAAAGACCTCCGGGATCACCGAGTCCACCCTGTGCCCAATGAGTCCACCCTGTGCCTGGTGCCCACCTTGTCCGCCAGCCCACAGCACTCAGAGCCACGGCCAGGCCTTCCTGGGACACCTCCAGGGGTGGGGACTCCACCACCTCCCATTCCAAGGCTTGACAGCCCTTTCCACGAATCCCAGAATATGCTGAGTTGGGAGGGACCCACATGGGCCATGGAGTCCCAACTCCTGGCCCTGCACAGGACCATTCCCAAGGGTCACACCATGTGGAGAAATTCCTTCTGATGCCTCATTTCCCTGAGCCAGAGGTGTTCTGCACACCAGGGCTGGGGGGTCCAGCTGGGCCCCACTGCATGGGGAGGGCAGCTCCCCCCTCCAAATCCTCACTGCCTCCCCATCCCTGCTCCAGGGAAACCAGAACCCACCCTGAGGCGTCACGGACACGGACAGAGGCACCAGTGCCCTCCAAAATCCAGGGATTCAGGTGGTTTGGGAACTGCTTGACCCTCCAAGTCCGACTTAACATGGTGTAATAACCAAACCACCCCAGCAGGTGAGATGACCCAAGACAGTGGGAGAGTGATCAGGGATAAAACACCTGTCCCAGGCACTCAAAGGATTTTGGAGCCGACTGGGCTCACTCAAAACCAAACCACGAGGCTCTGCCACAAGCAAAGAGATTCAACCCAGATCTCAGAACCAGGTGACCCCCCTCATCCCAGCACAGCTCTTCCAGGCAGGGTGGGAGCTTTGCACTGCCTGGTTTTTATTATTTAATAAAACCTGTGCAAAAGGCAGCCCCGGAGCTCCCACCTACAAAATGGGGTTTGAAGGGATAAAGAAAACAAATCCATGGAGTCACCAAAAACTGGGGGAAAAAGGAGGCAATGGGACTTACTGCACTTGAGTCTCGCTCTGTCAGGAGATGCCGGGGCAGAGGTGAGGTCACAGTCAAAATAAAGAGGAGACAGAGAAATAAAGCAAGTTAGAATTAAGTCTTAAACCAGAAAATAAACCAAGAAGCTCCTCATGCTCTTAACTCAAGCCTTATCTGGGCTCTTTCTGGCTTCAAAATCCCCCTGTTCATCCAGCCCCTGCTGCCTCCTGCCCCTTTCCTTTTGTCCCTGTGATTTATTTGGCAAAACACAGCTGGAAATGCCCCGAATCCAAAGGGAATGGCAGCAGCCTCTGGTGCTTGTCCCCGAAGCCACAACCTCCAACAGTCCCATGGGCAGCACAATGTGGTTTAGCCATTAATCTGTGCCCAACAGCCCCATTTTCCCTGGGATCTCCTGGCAATCTGAATCCATGCAGGAAAAGGAATGTAACTGGATAAATTGCTATGGATAATTTTGTCTCACTGTTTTCTCAGGGAGGAAGAACATCCCCGATCCCCCCAGCAGAGCCCGACAGCTCAGAGAGGCTGTGGGTACCTGCCCTGCAAACAGGAATGAGAGGGAAATATCCCAAATCCTTCCGTGTTTGGGGACAAGGGGATTTGCCAGGAAAATATTGAAAACAATTCGTTTGCACCTGGAATCACACATCATTTTATCTCCTAAAAAGCTGTCTGATCACTAATAAGCAGAAAAAAAACCCCAGGTTTGGGGGTGGACAGAGGAGGAGGAGGAGGAAGGCTGCTTCCCCACTGAGGTTCCACTGAACTGCAGCGAGACTTCAACAAAGGCTGAGCATCATTTAGGGAAAACTGCATCCCTAAAAGCAAGATCCCGTGGCCTGAAGCCCACAGTCCAGAGGGGTGGGGAGGTGGGAGCAGAGCTGTGTGTGGGTCAGGGTGCTGCCCCCAAAATCAGAAGGATGTGGAGCTGCTGGAGAGAGTCCAGAGGAGGCCACAGACATGTTCCAAGGGCTGGAGCCCCTCTGCTCTGGAGCCAGGCTGGGAGAGCTGGAGGGGTTCATCTGGCCAAGACAAGGCTCCAGGGAGACCTGAGAGCCCCTTGCAGGGTCTAAAGGGGTTCCAGGAGAGCTGGAGAGGGACTGGGGACAAGGGATGGAGGGACAGGACACAGGGAATGGCTTCCCACTGACACAGGGCAGGGTTAGATGGATACTGGGAAGGAATTCCTCACTGGGAAGGTGGTGAGGCCCTGGCCCATGTTGCCCAGAGAAGCTGTGGCTGCCCCATCCCTGAAAGTGTCCAAGGCCAGGCTGGACATGGCTTGGAGCAACCTGGGCTAGTGGAAGGTGTCCCTGCCCATGGCAGGGGGTGAGACTGGATTTTAAGTTCCCTTCCCACCCACGCCATTCCAGGATGATTCCATGAGTTCCAGCACCAGTGGACACAGAGGGGAGCAGCCCCCTGGCCCCTCGCTCTCACCTCTGTGGTCCAGGTCATGGTGGTTCTTCTCATCCTTGACAGCAAGGTGGGCCTGGCTGCCCAGGGCTCCGAGGGCCAGCAGCCCCGAGCTGGTGCCGGTGACCGGCGGAATTCCCGGCGGTTGGAGCCCCGAGGGATGCGGCGGCAGCTGGACCGGGGGCCCGTGGGCGGCGTGGGAGAGGTGCTGGGCCTGGAGCTGCTGCTGCTGCAATGAAAGCACCAGTGAGCCGGGGAGGGGCACTGGGGGGCACTGGGGGCACCGAGCGGTGCCAGGAAGGGACATTCCCGGTGTCCCGGGGTGATGTCCCGGGAGCCGCCCCGCTGGGACACCTGGAAGGAGAAGCCCCGTTAGCAGGAGGGACAGAGGGTGCCCAGGCACGATGCCCACGTCAGGAGTGCACACGTGGCACACCCGCCCCAGGATCGTCCCTCGGTCACAGGAACGCGGCACTGCTGCAGACCTGGTTAGTTTGGGGTTTTCAGTAGGTAAAAGCAAAAAAGAAATACAGGAATCCCACCCAGAGTAGCCCTGGCCAGAGTGCAGAGGCCAAACCAGCCAGACAGAGAAAATTCCAGCAGCCAGGATCCTCTCAGACGCCTCAGGAAAAGCAAGTTTTGCTCATTTACTCAGGACCAGCTTTAAGGTGTTTGAAGGGGAGAAGAAAATGCCCACATAGTGCCCTGGTCCCATCCCACCACCCTGTGCTCCCGACCCCTTCCGACATCACTGGCTGTCCCTTGTACTGGATAAATCATGGAGGGACCCCCCAACTCCACCACAGGGCCAGGCATCACCCCCACATTCCCTGGCACACACACAGGGAGCTGCAGCCCAGCTGGGACTGCTCCCAGGGGTTTTTTGGGAGCCCTGAGTCCCAGCCATCCCAGTACACACTCATCCAGCCATGGGGATTGATTCCCTGCTCCATTACAGCTGCAAAAAGCTGAACTACAGCTCTGGGGAGAGGAAAGGAAAACCAAACACATCCCCAGCGATTCTATTTCAAACACAAACTTGGAAGAAAACCTGCTGAAACCTGTGGAACTGCTTCCAGGAGTCCCCAGGCTCCTCCTCCCGCAGCTCCTCTGCTCCCAGGACACCCCTGGTCCAGCCAGGAGGGTCTTGGAGTCAGCACTCCTCCCTGAGACCCTCCTGCCTGCACCCACAGCCCCCTGGAGCAGCACCCCATAGCTCCCAGTGAAGTCACAGTTGGGCAGCAGCAGGAATCAGGGGCTGGGAGGGGACACCTGAGCTGCAGTGGACCCTCCCAACCTCCTCCAGACCCCCACGACCACCTTGGCTCAGGATTTCTCCTCAGTGTCACCAAGCACCGACCTGTGTCCTGCCCAGGGCACCCAAAGGGCACGGGCAAACAGCAGGAGCTGCTGCCACCCGGCCCAGCTCCAGGGACACCAGCAGGAATACACCAAAAACATCCCCAGGTACGGAGCACTCCATGATTCCAGCAGTTCCATCACGGACATTTCCAGCAGAACTGGAAGAAGACACCCCCAGGTGTCCCACATCCCTGGAAGTGTCCAAGGCCAGGCTGGACAAGGCCTGGTCTATGGAAGGTGTCCCTGCCCAGGGCAGAGGGTGGAACTGGATAAGCTTTAATGTCTCTTCCAAGCCAAACCATCCCAGGATTCTGTGGTAAGTTTTCCCATACCAAGGCCAGGTTTTCATGGGAGCAGCTCCCACCCACTGCCCACGGAAGGACCCGTCCTGGGGCAGCAGAAGGTGGGTCTGGCTGTCACACTGCAGGCACAGCGGGGTGGAGCAGCCACTCGCTGGGGGCAGGGGAGGTGGGAGCCTTCCCAGGGCTGTGATGGAGAGGGAAATCCTCGGCCAGGATGAGATCCAGGGTGGGAGCCGAAGGCAGGAGCTGCATTATCTCCAAACAGCTTCTTCCAGGCAGCACCAAGGTCCCGGCTGGGGCAGAAGCCAAATGGAGAAGGCAATTAGGCCTCTGGTATAGGAAAAGCATAAATCACTGCGCCCTCAAAAAGCAGGAGCTGGAAGCTTCTCCCAGGCTGCTCCATCCGCAGGGCAAGGACAGGAAACATCCTCAGGATCACCATTCCAGGAGTGTCCTCCTACAAGGAGAGCTGGTGGGGTGAGGGAGCACCACGAGGGGTGATTCCCTCAGTAACTCCATCTCCTGCCACACACACGTGCCAAGACCATCCCTCCAACACCAAAGCAAGTGGAACAGATCCTCAGATCTTCCTGAAATCAATGAGGCTCCTCACAATCCCAATTCCGTGTGATTTCCACCCACTGAAGCCAGAGGCAGGGCTGGCCATTGTTTGAGAACATCACCCAGAGAATGGTCCCAGATGGTTTTCCAGCACAGCACATTCCTCTCCTGCAGGCTCTCCAGTGGTGCCCATCCCTGCAGGGCCAGAATACAACGTTTTATCCTCAGCAATCTCCAACCTCCACCTTAAACATCTGCATGGCTTAACTCATCCCAGCAGCTTTTCACCCAGGAGCCCCAAAAAAGGGATGTGGTCTCGTGGAAATCCTGGATCCAGGCAGCAACACTCCATTCCCGGGGTGAAGATGGGGAATCGCAGACCCAGCACAGCCCCAGGGGACAACACAGCTCCACCACAGTGACACAGCAGCACCCCGAGCAGGAGACTCAGCACCCAGAGCCTCGCCCTCCAGCACAGCAGGAAACTGGTTTTTCTTCCTTTTCTTTAGGCTGTCAACAAATAAATCCATCCAAGGGCTCCGTGAGCTGCGGGAACAGCCCCTCACAGCAGCCCCACTCCGAAGGGTCGTGGAAACCAAGGTCAGGACACAACATCCCACTGTGGCCCAAAATAACACTGAAAGGTGTTTTTTCCTCCCTCTGGCAGCAGGAACCGGTGAGCAGAATCCATGTGGGAAGTCCACGTGGGACAAGGGAAGCCTTGTCCCTCCATCCAGCACTGCAGCTCCATGGAGTAGCCAAGATCCCACCTCGGGGCTGCAGAGCTCCATCCCAGCACCGCTGAAGGAGCCGTGTCCCAGCTGGATCACTCCCAGGGCAAGGAGAAGAGGATGAGCCAACAAGCCCAGTGCACATCCCCGGGTGGTGCTGGAGGATCCCCAGGCTCCGCTCCCAGCTCCTTCCCATCCACGCCACTCCACTGTGTCTGATGCACATCCCTCGGGAATAACATCCTGGAGACTCCATGGAGTGGCACAAAGCCCGCCTGGGGTTCCATGGCTGCATTTCTTCATCAGCCCACGGAGCAGTCGATGCACATCCCTCAGGAATAACATCCTGGAGGCCCCGTGGGACTCCACGGCACAGGGGTGGTGCTCGCTTGGTGTCCTCTGCTGGAAAGCCCAACTTCCCCCCCCGGCCCTTATTCCAACCCTGGAAAAGGTTGTTTTTAAAAACACACCATGTGAGGGCTTGCTGCAAATATCCCAGGAAAGGGCCGGCTGCAGGAGCTCTTTGGGCTCCCAAAAACTCCCCAGCACCCACAGCTGGGTGCTGATGGCACGGACAGGACAGGGATCGAGGTCCTGGTCAACGAGTGACACAGCACAAGGACCTGGAGCAGCCTTTCAGAACCAGGGACCCTTCCCAACACCTCCCCGGCTGAACCACAAGCTCAGACCTGCTCAGGACGCTGCCCTGGGGCTCCTCATCTGCTGGCAGGACCCCAGAACGGATCCATGTCCCCACACGTCCCAGGACAGCAGCTGGCAGTGGATAAAGACCCTGCAAACCCAACCCGGGGTGGCAGCGGGAGCCGACAGGGACACACAGACACCGAGAGGTCTCCTTCCTCCTGGGGTCCCTCAGCACGTGCCAGCCAAAGATGGGGAAGATATGCAGAGGTTATAAATTTAGGAGAAAGCTGGCAAGGAATATCTGGTCCGTGGAGTGGCTTTAATTGGATTATGTACATCATGCTTCATGCCTTTGTTCACCGATTTAATGGTTCACCACTTAAGTTCACCACTTGCGTTAAATTTAGTAAAGTAGTCTAATCATTTCCAGAGCTATAACCAAATCAAGGGCTCAATTTCACACAAGCCTGAAGCAGAGGAACTGTGAGACAATGGCCTAGATGCATAAAATTAACAGTTCTTGACCTCAAAAGGGGCGAAAAAAAAAAGGTTTTCCTGATTTGGTGGGTTTTTGTGTGAGGCAGCACCTGCACCGAGGGCTGGGGCACTCTGGGAGGGCTTCCCGTGGTGGGAGGGTTGGGACAGCAGGGCCACCCATCCCCAGGGCCACAGGATCCCCAGGGACACAGGGGTGGGGCTGTGCACACCCCAGTGCTGTCCTCACCGACCCGAGGAGAGCAAACAAACACAAGGGATGTGTCCACATGAGCAACCCTACAATAACAAACCCCTGTGTGCAACGAGGGGAGGAAAAAGAACCCCAAATCCTCTGGGTTTGGTGCCTCAGGGGCACCTGAGCAGGTGCAGCAGCACAGAGTGAGCTCCACATCTCCAGGGTGAGCTTGGAGCCTCCTCTACAAGGCATGGAAGGACATGGAATCACTTATCACCTTCCTGTCAGCAGCAGCCCTACAATAACAAACCACTCCATGCACAGAGGGGAGAGAAAAGAACCCCAAATCCTCTGTTTGGTGCCTCAGGGGCACCAGAGCAGGTGCAGCAGCACAGACCCGCCACCCAAACCATCTCCAAACCTCTGGGATGAGCCTGGAACCTCCTCTACAAGACATGGAATCACTCACCAGCCTCCTGCCAGCAGCAACCCTACAATAACAAACTGGCGTGTGCAGTTTTTTCGGAGGAAAAAACCCAAAAACTGTTGGGGTTTTGTGCCTTGAGGGGCACCCGAGCACAGACCCAGCACCCAAAGCAGCTCCACAGCTCTGGGACGAGCTCTGGCCTCCCCTACAAGCCATGGAAGGATGTGGAATTGCCCACCAGCCTCCTGCCAGCACCGTGTCCCTCCCCAACAAGCCACGGCGGGAGGAGATGCCCATAATTCCTGCTGAAAGTTCATCAGGAAAGCGATTAAACGGCTGGGCTGGCTGCTTAATGACAGGAGGCACTCGCTCTGATCCAAGGAAGCAATTACCTCGGAAATGGGGGTCACGGGCCCTGCTCATTCACCTTAATTGAATTCCAATATCTGCCTCCAGCTGCCGGGGGCTCCTGCCTGCAGCTCCAAGCAGCTCATCAAAGCCATGGGCTCCCTCCTCCCTGTCTCTGCTCACCTCCCAGCACTCCACAGTGCTGCCTGCCACCCCAAAACTCAGCTCCTGTCCCTGGGCCACTTCCCAAGAGCCACCAACCCCACCACCAGGGATCCACCTGCTACTGAACCTCTCCTCATCCCCAGAGACTGCAGCAGCTCAGAGCCCAATTCTACCTTTGGTGCTACCCACAAATTAGAGAGAAAAATGTAGAGAAGAGCAGGTTAAGTGCAAAGAATTATAAAGATCCTTGTAGCTTAAGAAGTGCAAATAGTTATTAAAAAAAAAAAAAGGGCATTAAAAATGAGCATTTTCTGGAAAACAAAGACCTAAAGCCAGAGGAGCTCTGGAGCCACCTGCCCAGGATGCTGGATGGGGACACCGATGTCCCGGGGTGAGGAGCAGGTTTGCTGCAGGACTGAGACCGTGACATCAATTAAAGAAACAATAAAAATGGTTAATCCTCAAATTAAACCCCCCCCCGAGGTCTGTGAGAGAGAGCCCGGCCAGCGGGAGCGGGTCATCAATGCACGGGACAACAACCCTGCCAAGGGCACAGCACATTCCACACCAACAGCCCAGCAGAGACAAGCCTGGGCTCAGGGGGTCTGCGAGGGCTGCTGGGTCCTGCTCTGCACCCCAAACACTGCCCAGGCCGTGGAGAACACCCAATTTTGGTCGCTGGAGGCTCCTGGAGCTGTGCCAGCACCCGGGAGGGGGCAGGAGGTGGAGATTCCACCCTTTGTCTCACTCAATGCCAGACTGGGGGAGTTTTGGTCATTTGGGGGGGGCCGTGGGGTGGCTGGGGGGGTGTGAGCCGCCCTGCTTTGTCCCTCCTGAGCGCAGGATTGCCTCTGGTTATGGTAAATGATAGGAATAAAAGGGGTATACACACGGTGAGAGGCAGATTGGGAAGTCCACGTACCCCGATGATAGCATTCAACTCCGTCATTGTCACTTGCTTGGCACGTTCAACAGCCTGTGCCACTTGCTGTTGGTGCTGCGGGGACAGAGGGGCAGGGCCAGGTCAGAGCTGGGCATGGGGGCACCAGCCCAGGGGCAGGACTCCCCCTCCAGAGATGCTCACCCCTCTTTTGGGCTCTATTTTGCTCACGCCTGGGAGCACCTCCCAGCTCCACGGGGTGCAGGGGGGTGGAGAAGCCCCTCAGAGCCTTTTTGGAGACCCCCAAACCCCTTTCACAGGGCCCAGCTCTCCCCCATCCCAAGGGTTTTTCCAATGCACATGGAGGATCTGAACCCCGTTTCTCACTCAGCCCCACACCCCCAGGGACCCCTGAGGGGCTCAGCACTGCCCACCTGGGGAAACCCCCCCGGGAGAAACAGCAACTCCCCACCCAGGGTGTGAAAACTTCCTTACCTCTTGTGACAGAAAAGGCATGATCTGGGCTAAAATTGTATTCAGTCTTTTAGCAATTTCTGTCTGAAAAAAAGGAAGAAGAAAACCCAACAGTCAGCACCAAACACCCTCCCACAGACAGCTCGAGACTTCCTGGAGCAGTGTTGTGCATCCTCTCCCTGTCCCCCCTCCACGTCCCTTCCCATATATCCCATTCCCATCCCATCCCACCCCTCCAAGTGGAAGCAGCAGCTCCCAACAGAGGCAATAAAAGCACCTTCAAGCACAGCAGCACAGGGACACATCCCTGCTGCCCTGGGACACTTGAGGCCCCTTCCCATCATGGCATGAGTGCCACGGACCAGCCCAAGAAGTACTGTACCACCCTGGACTTCCCTGGCTTCATGAAAACGTAGCACTGGCACAGCTCCTCATCCTTGGAGCAGTTGCTGGGGGCTGGATCCCAGAAAACCCAGTTTTTGGTGGCCCTTGCCATCACCTCCCACTCCTGGCACTGTGGTGGGTGTTGAGTTTCTCCAGGAGAAACCCTGGTAGAGCCACCAGCAAGGGTTGGGGGTCCCTGCTCTGCTCTCTGCCCATCCCACACGAAGCTGGTGGTGTTCCCTTCGCCATCCTCACATCCTACCCCAGAGCAACCCAGACCCACCACCAGCTCCACTGAGCTATTGGGACTGTAACAACCAACTGTGCTGATAACTGTGGGAATAATTAACTGGGAATGCTGCTTTCCTGGAGGGATGCCCCCAGCCCGGTGCTGGGAGGTGCCACCCTCCCACACACCCCACAGATGCTCCTGCTGGGCTCCCCTGGCTCCCACCAGGATCACTCAGCTCCCAAGGGTTACCCTGGGATCACTCAGCTCCC